TGTCAGGACTGTGTATATAGGGTCTCAGATTGCTTATCGGAGTGTAAAGAATAGCAGGTGTGCTGATTGGGAAGTCTTGACAACACCAGAACTCCTGAAATATTGCCCATTGGCCCCAGAGGCTTATTTTCATCAGACTGATAGCCGCTGAGTCCACCTTGGACTCTGAGATATTGCAATGGACATTCTCACTATTTGCTGAAACTTAATAGACTAGAGAAATAATGAATTTGTCAAAAGATAATCAGCAGTTGAATTTATAATGAAAATAATTAGTCCTTGCAGCCCTAACATACATGCATGGTCCTCTCAGCACAAAAAAAGACTTGTGAGTCACCAGTCTGCAGCTCACTGTATCTGAATTTGATTCCACTCAGCCACCATACAGCCACATTCATCTTCTGTATGTGCTGTTAATGTGAAGAGAGCAGCTCTCATAATGGCAGTGTAATTGAGAGTCAAACAGAGGCCAAACTAAAAACCAACACTGTCACCGTGACTGCACGCAAGTGAAGAACTGCTGCTTCTAGGAGCGTGGACGAGCATTAATGTGACAGTCACACTGCAAGGACACGCTTATGTTGAGCTAAAGTGGATGTATGAGTTGTGCGTGTGTAGAGGTTGGGTTGTCCTTTATCCTGTTGGTTTACCCTTGAACACACACACACACACACACACACACACACACAGCAGTACAGATCCAGAAGCAGGTGGTAGAGGATGTTCAGAATTACAACAGTTGATGGAAGTGTGGGTTTTTTCCTTAACATGAACAGCAGGGAGAGTCGGACAGATAGACTAGCTGTGCTCTAATGTCACTCAAGATCCTCGCAAGGCACTTCACACCTCCAAAATAAGATACACACAGCTAATTACATCCTGTTACATGATAAAGACATTATCTTAGAGGGTATCTCCACTGATGGGAGCTCTTTTTCTGCAACTTCACACATCCAGAGATGGAGATTTCCTTCTCTCTGCTCCTGTTTGACTACAAATCTGTCTTTTTCATCCCTCCTCTTTACTTTTTACTGTTTCTCCCTCCTCTCCGTTCCATCTGAACGACTTCCGTTGTTGTTCTGCCCCATTTCCCTGCATTTTCTTCCAGTTGGCATACCGGTGATTGGGTGCCATTGTGTCAGTGGGGGTCACTAGTTTCAAAAGGCTTTTGCATGTTCAGTAAGCCATGTGTGCATATGGTGTGCCCTACTGAGAGTGTTTCCTCAGGTGGAAGGGTTTGAGGATGGTGGGGGGGCTGCCGGGATCATGGAGTTCATTTCAGTAGCGTGTCCCTCTTTCTCCCACTCTGCTGTGTAATTAGGCCAATCAGACGTGGTCATTACTGTTAATTTAAACTGATGATACTATAAAATGCGTGTGGAGGAAGCTATGAGGCCATGTTGTTAACACTCAATGAAGGGAGAAGGACAAAGAGGAGATAATTGGTAGTAAATTAGCAAGTTTAAGTTTGTAGTTTGGGTTTGTTTATTGTTTGATGGTAGGAAACTGAATGTCAGATTTTCCTTCAGTGCACAAACACATCCGACCAGATACACAACATCCAGACAGTCACCAAAATCAAATCAACGAATCCCTGGAGCATTCTTCCACCAGATTTCAGCAATATCCTCCTCCTATCTTCTCTACCTCTGATAGTTACTGAGCTGCAGACCAGCCAGGCTTATTATCTGACTTTGTTGCCAGATGAAACATTAACAATAACAGAACTAATGAGGAGACGTTCACAAGAACTGAGCCAGTAAAAACAGTACTGGTCAACACATTTATCAGCGATTCACACCATTGTACTTCCTGTCCACATCCCAATACACCCCCGTAAAAGATCCAATTTAGTTACTAAAGAATTGTGACTAAGATGTGAACTGAGACTTTAAGAGTTGTTAGAAGAAGAAGCTATACCTTATTTGTCCACTCTGTTGTCACACAGGCCTGAAATACACACACATGCAGCACAAACAGGACCTATACATGTATCAAATGGAGAGACGTCAGAGAGAGGGGACTGCCCATGGACAGGCGCCCAGAGCAGTTGGGGGTTCTGTGCCTCTGGTGGATAAATTATGTAATGGCACTGTTTCTAAGTTACCGCAAACATTTCTGAACCATAATTTCTTGTTACACATCTGCCAACATATAGTGATACCAATATATCTGCACTGGGTGAGGTTTGAAAGCATTTAATCCAGACAATTCTGTTAAAATCCCTCGCGAACTTAACTATGTTTAGCTTTCAACATTTGTAGGTAACTAATCTGTCATCAGTTTTTGTTGTCTGAGAAATTAACTTAAAGTGGTGGCTTTAAATGAAAAGGTATGAAAATTTCATATCACGCTTTTAGTGACCAGTATTATCACAGTATTGTTAAAATGTGCTTAAAAAGTCCAAGAAGTACTGATACACTCACATATTATTTTAAGTTTAATATTGAAAACTACAAATAAAATGAGCAGGATTCAATTACGATTCAGAGGACAATCAATCATAAGACCATTTTTGATGCATCAAAATTTTTGATTTCTACACGATTTATTTTTCTCACTGACACTTTTAAAACCTCACATACTGTATTTGTCATGATCCACAATTACACAACAGATTAATTTATTTGCATACAGCGTCTTTAAACCAGGGCGTGCCAGTCAGATTGTATCCATCTGCAGCTGCACATGCTAACCCACTGTGGGATATTCATGTCGATGTAGTGTCTTGTGTTTGTATACTGTACTATTTCACCAAAAGAAATATGCAATAAATTTACTGGGAAAAATGGAGACACTGAGCGGGCCAGCTGCAGGGGTTTTTGAGGTGAAACACACTGAGCAGAGCATACTGAGTCAGCCGGTCTCGTTCTTCAACGTTACTGCTGATCGCTGCTCTGTTAACATCTCTGGGTGATGGCGTAGAAAGTATTCACAGCATAGTTCGCCTCACAGTGTCCAGTCCACAGGGTCCAGATTTCTCCTTAGTCATTAGTTCAAGGTCCACACAGTGTAATTTATTCAGTATCACACTGGGTTTTGGCCATGTCGTTAGTTAGCTAGTTTGCTGTCTCTGTCAAGTAGCTGTCCATTCTTTAACTCACTCTACAGCAGGAAACGGCACTTCAAAATAAGAAGTATATTTTTTACAAACTTGACACGTTTATGAGTCACTTGCAGTCCATTCAGAGTGGACCTGTGACCCACGTTTGGGCCGTGACCCATCCGTTGGGAACCATTGCTCTAGACTTTCCAGGTGCTGCACTGCCCTCACAGTTGAGTTTGGTTATTAACAAACATTTAGATGATGAATGGTCCACATGCGCATTGTGATGCATCTAAAAATCAATTATTTCCCCCTCCCCTAAAATTAGCAGCACTATTCACATTAATGTTTGCAGAAACATTAAAATAATTACATAGCCAATGTCTTACGTAAACATATGAAAAACCAAATTGGATGTAGATTAACGTTAAAGATAGCCTGGCTTTGAAATGCTTGCTTGAGTCTTTGTGTTCCTATACATGAGGACCAAGGGACCAGCAGCAGTATCACTGGGTTTGCCTGCTGCACGCCCACTCTGTAAACAAGGGAACAACAAAACAAACCCACGTTGTGTGCGGTGTCTGCATCTGGCAGACTGTTGCCAACTTTGATGCTGGACAGTATTTACCAAGAGTCTTCCAAAGAGCAGTAATCAAACACGGTTATAATGATAATTAAAATTTGAAACAGTTATACTGTACAGGTGGAATTTTACAGAGGTTTATCATGACACCACAAACTGTGTCCTCCCTAGTGGCGGCCTCATTAATGTTAACAACTCATCTCAACTAAACTTGAGATGAGCAGCAGATTATATTAAGTATTAATTAAGTATGTTTTGTTATAGAAGGCATTTGCAATATACAGTATATAATATGATAAGCATAAAATACAGAATAAAAGATTCTACTGAAATGGACTCATCACCCTGTTGGTCTTGTTAAACTACACAACACCCTTGCAGTTGTGGAGACAGCAGCCAAAGTTAAAAGTAATTTTAGTTTTAATGGAACTGGCAAAGTTCCCAACAAAATAAGAAGATGCCTCCTACTGTAAATGTTTTCTTCATGGCCACTATGTTGTGAAAAAGAGCAAGGAAAAGGAAAAGTGTGCAGAGACATCAGGGTATTTTGTCAACCTGCAGCCAAAATGGAGCAGGCAACTGAAACCCCAGTATCCAAGCGAGGCTAAAATTAGCTGATGTTTTGGTCGGGCTCTGGTGGCAAATAGATTTTGTGGGTTTTGTTTTTTTACAATAGTGTACAGATTTTATACAGAGTCATTACGACAAGTTGATACAGGTGGATGTGCTCATTAAAGTCACATGGGGAATTTATATCACTGCAGACGAATATTAGATGACAACAACAACATGATTCACACAGGTCTCTTTAAAGCACCATCCCTCCACCTCCACCTCCACCTCCTCTCCTCTGTGTGTCCTGCAGCTCAGACCGCAGCCTCCTGTATCTGTTACCTCCTTAACCCTGGAGTAAAGATCAAGGACAAAGACGAGGCTGACCAGCTGCTCAGTATAGAGAGCAAAGTGACACTAATGTAGATATTTGCACTAGTTTTCAAAATCTTTTCAATTTATGATGTATATTTTTTACTTTCTTTAAATACGTTTATCAGCAGGACAGAAGGTCAGAGAGACAGATGGTGTTCAAACTGGACACAGAATAATGTGATCATAAACAAGCAGGTTGTCAGCATGTATGTGTGCGTATGAGGAGGAGGTTTAAATATTTAGAGGTGTGCATCATCACTCTCTCCACCCCTCTACTTCTGTCTCTCATTAATTCATGCATAGTGAATATTAAGATGTATTATGCATGTATTAAAGGCAGAGGTGCAGGTATAAACATAAACAAACCCAACAGAACACTAAAACAATCATAAGTTTGGCTTTGTTCATTTTCTAAAGTGTTTTCCTCTCTCTCCCTCCCCTCAGCTGAGCCTCTTCCTCTGATGGACCTGTGTCGACGTGCGGCCCGCCTGGCGTTGGGTCGTGAGCGGCTTCAGGAGATCGAGGGCCTCCCCCTGCCCCAGTCCCTGAAAAATTACCTCCAATACCAGTGACTGCCACCAGCAGAGCAAACTGGGAGTACAAGGACACGCAAACCAGACCACCAGGAAGTCTAAAGCTGAATGGATATGAGAAATAATTAAAGGAGGCAAAGAGGGGATGATGGATGGGAGCATGTCCACACTGAGGGCGCCACGGCTCTACTAAAGGGTGGAGATAAAGATGGTGGATGAACTGACGGAGGAGGTCCAGGCTTTCACACAAAGACAGCACCAGCTTCTTTTGGATTTCGAGCTGCTTTCCCATTTGTTTTTGACTTGAAATAAATTATTGATGATGGTATCCCATCAGTGTCTCACTCATTCAGACAGAGAACCCAGCCGGTGTGATTAAGAGGTGACAGTGTTCAGGAGACCACCGCCACCTAGTGATGAGAATGAAAACTGCGCCGTGAAAGCACACTAATCCTTTCCCTGGAGGCCTTTCTGACACACAGTCAGTGACCATATCATTGCTGTTGGATACCATAGTGTGTATTCATGGTCTCCACTGACACAGGTGACAGGCTGCAGAGCCCAGACGTCCGAGAGGGTTTTAGCACTAATGTTGTTTTTATCTGATTGACTCGGGGCCCGACCAAAAGCTCACAGCGCATACAGAGTAGATCAGAAACATGGCTGTGAGGTGTATGCAAAGGTTAGTAAGAGGGAATGCTGAATTTATCTCCTGGCCTCATGCAGACACATGATGAAAGTTAAGCCCTTTTCAGACATGGAGCAAGTTCCATCTATCAGTCAAAGTGATGACTGTTTGGTTACGTTAAAGTTTGTTACTGATTCATTCACAATGCTTGTACAGTATTTAGTATTTATTAACTTCTGGTTGATTAGAAAAGTGAAGATACAAAGAAATAAAAGTGCTTCAGTGATGGATTTTTAAAATTAATTTTGCTATTCATTTCTTAATGACTGACCACTGTCAGCATGAGACGCTCACCCCAAATTCCCACTTACCAATTTTATCCTTTATTAGTTTATTTTTATTACATTTATTTTATTCTGCGGCAAATTTTCTACTAAGATGGCCAAGTACAAAATGACAAGACAATGCATTGGGACTCTTTTTGCCAATATGCTGTATCTAAAGCATTTAAAATTAAGAAGCTACTTATGATTGTTATTGTTTGAAGGTTGTTTTTTTTACCTCTTTTGCCCCACGTTGCATGGGGGGAAAAAAAGAAAAACTTACTTTTCAAAGTCTAATCGGACATGACAACAATCTCATCTTGAATATTAATTTTTGCATTTAATTTTCACAGAAAAAAAATAAAATAAAATTATGATGATTATGTGATTTTTGCTGGGGTCTTTACTAAACTAGCATGTTCCCTCATGTCTAGAATATGATGTTTAGGCCGGGGCATCCCTGCAACACCAAAAAGTACATTGCAACTAAGGTTGCAACAGTATGAGATTTTTATGGCACAGTAACCGTCTCAGGTTTCATGGTATCACAATAATACAGAATTTATATTATTATCAATCAGAATAACCCTTAACCTTAAAAGAATGAACATGGAAGGGTTATTTTTGATTAAACAAACGTTTTATCACTATAATTGAAACTTGAAACCATTCTGTTAACGGCAGTATGGGTAAAAAATTCCCCTTAGAAAATAACGAAAATGAAGGCAAGATTCTCCGTCAAGTTGCATGCTTTTTTCCCCAATATAGTAGATAAGCCAATACGCATGGTATGATAATGGTTAACTTTTATATCATGGTATACCTTAAAAATCGGTACAGCGCTGCAACCCTACTTGTGACACATTTTAATCAAACAATTAGAGCTCCTGCGATTTGGACATCACACTTGGCCATATTGCGATTTTGATAATATTTTGATTACCTGTGCAGCCCTAATCATGTTGCCAGTTTGTTGACACTGGCTCATTTACAGTGTTTCAATCTTGTTTAAACGGATTGTATTTTATTTGTGCATTAATTTAAAAAAAGAAAAGAAAAGAAAAGAAAAGAGACGATATTAAAGTGATAAATTTGTTTAAAGTGCTCATAAAGCTCTTGAATAAGCACTAATCAAAGTTGGAAAAAAATGCTCAAAAACTCTGCTTCGTCAGGACCGTGGGTTTGGTTTGATTAGATCTGATTGACGATACTCCAAACAACCCACCAGCCGCAATCGGATTTGAATTAAAATATTGCTGAATCTTGATTGGTGGATGGAAATTGTTGCAAGCACCTTTTTCTAAATGAGCGTCGCCCAATTTAAACCAGTCAGAAGAGCAGACGGAGGAAGAAATACATAAATCTCTGATGTAAAATAACCAAAACTTTTCTACCTTCTAACTGAAAATTGTGTTCTCATTAGGACTTCATCGATCACTGCGAGAAGCTGAGTGACAAAATACTTTTGAAGAGCCTTTAATAAGGAAACAAGACGTGGATTTGATCCTTTTATGTGCATAATTTCTGCTGCTGTGGCCTTAATGATTATTTGATGGTATCCACTTATAGGGAGGTGTTACGGAAATATTACTTCTGCCATCGTTACTTTAACGCAACGTGCTGCGTGTCTGAAAGGGGCTTCATCACAGAAACCAACAGGTCAAATCTGCTTACTGTTTACAGTGTTAATCTGCACTGGGAGTCATTCCTCTTCACAGGACACTAAGTCACGTATTACGATGTCAGTCACAACCAAAGTATTTCATACTAAGCCATGGAGTGTGTCAGTAGGAGCTGGAGGTTGCGGCCCGTTGCAGTGTAACTAGTGCTAACCTGCTGTTGGCAGTTAAGAGGAGACTCACCTGCTGTTGTAGCACCCTGCTGTAGCTCACTGGTACCAGACAGTATCTGTCTGCTGTCCGCACAACTGTCTTAATGACCACAAATAAACAAACAAACAAACAAACAAAAACAAACAGGAGCAGAGGAGATCTGGTCTCACTGGATCTCTAATAAAGGCTGGAGCAGGATGGAGGAACATTACTGCTGCTGCAGATGTGTTTCTTGCTCAGAATAGGATGTAGATGACCAATGCACAACCACACACACACACACACACACACACACACACACACAGTAGACCAATCATTTTTTCCTTTCTAAAAAATGGCTTGAGTCACTTTTTTTTTTAACGTCTTGAGTTTGTATTCTACATTATCATTATTATTATTATTATTATTATTATTATTAATATTAATGTGAGTGGGGAGTCTGATTCTGATGATGGCAGGATGATGATGATGACGATGATGATGATGACAACGATGATAATGATTATTGTTTATCACAAGCTAGTTCTATGTTTTTCTAACGGATGACTGATGGTTACATTCAGGTAAATTTAATTCAAAGACGCAGGTGATGAAGGGAGAGAGAAATCAACAGTTGTTTATTTGATGCTGCTTTTATTATTATTTTATTATTATTATTAAGTTTATTATTGTTTGAGATGGTGGCGGTCTCACCTCCTGATTTCATCACGTAGGATGGGGAGAGAAGGACCATTCAGAAAAGAAGTGGAATGTAAGGACAGACAGTTGAGATGTCAGCAGATATGAAATGTGAATAAAAGCCAAGTGAATTTGAAAAATGTCTGCAAAGTTTTCCTTGTGTTTCTTTCCCTTCACTCCTTCGTGACCCGAGACTCATTTTGTGCCCAAAAACAACCCGACCGCTGATTTTTAGGAATGCTTTCTAAAATATAAAGTCGTCCAAAGTACATCTGACACTTTCCCTGAACAGTTGGAGCTGCAGTAAGATGCAAAAGAGCCCGATGGTTCGACTGGGGCTGACACATTTTCAGCTTCTTTAATTGTGTCTGAGGGAGCATTTAATCTACCAAGGGAGGCCTTGGCGAGGAAAATTGGACCGTAAAGTATTTGGTTGTAAGTTCGCCCAATTGTCAAGTGTGCAGTTTCCACTTCAGAAAGTAAACAGCTAATGCACTGCTCATCAGCTCCTGCAGCTGTAAATACAGCTCACACTCTCGCACTCAGTTGGGGAGATAATGACGCGCTCAGGGTCTAAAAGGAAAACCTGCAGGGCACCGCTGAGCGAAAAAGCAGACATTAGTCGACGTGGTTACAGGCTTCATATTTCCACAGCACACAATATGGGATCAGACTCATCAGGTCCAGCTCATCATATCCAAACACACAGGAGGATGAATGTTTGAGAAATCAATCGCAGACAGACGGTGCAATGATGCTGCCCGAGTCACTGGCGATCCTACTGGGGATAGAGCCAATACTCACAGTATAATAGGACCGGAGCCTCCGCACCAAACACACACTCGGTGTCTGACAGCAGTGAGTTCAACAACAGTTCAATCCATTTTCCCAGCCACACACTGACAGAATATTATACTGTATGTGGTGCAGACATCAGGAGCTAAACTTTGACAAGGTCACACAGCAGAGCACCGTGTGATTTATAACAGGGGTTGAGTTCTGATGACACTTGCAAGTGAACCCTGGTGCGGTTTGCTTACAGTGGGAAATGCAAACGGACTATCCAGTGAACCAAAGAGAGGAAGTGACGTAGAGCGCGGTGCATTTTGGGTAGAAAAAAAACAAAGCCAACAGCACAAACCAGGAGAAGCAGAGGTGAAAAAAAAAAAAAAACTGAAAAATGTCTTGTGGGCAGATGTGGAGTAGTGAAGAGGTGCAGCCGCTTATTGATATATGGTCAGAGGACTATATATCGCAGTTGCTTGTGGCTACCCACAATGGATTTCCGTTTTCGTTCCTGGCCAGTCAATGAGCTGGGTTTTCTTCTTCCTCGTGCTTTTTTTCTTCCTGGTCAGTGGTCGTTTCGGGCAATACCGCCCTTGAGCAGCTGTTGTAACTGCGAGACGTTGTCCAGGCGGTTTGGTCCGCTTTAAAAAGTGCAGTGTGAAAGTGAACCGAAACCAAATGAAGGTGAATGCGCCCTAACACAGTACATGCAGTCAGACCAGATTCTGCCAGGTGAAAGTTTAGTTGTGTAACGTGAAAAAAAAAACAAAACAAAACAAGCTGGACAGGAAATTAGACTTAATGCATTCACTTGAGAGAAGACAAATAGTCTGCTCTTCTTCTGAATTAACAAGATTATTATCTCAGACTTCTGACAAAAGTTTTCATGGGAAAAAAATCTGCTCATTTTTCTGAATTAATGAGATAATAAAAAATAAAGAATGGGTGAATGGGTTATGCTTCCATAGGAAACAGGATGGCCAGGGTTCTAAACAAAAACTGAGGGAGCTAGCCTGGCTACAGCTGTTTGATAAGTTTTACATTTTGTAATTTGCACCAAAACCTTCTCTATAATAGATGACAATCCCAATAAACATGACCTTGTAACAACAAGTTCAAGAGGGGGGAAAGGCCGCCTGACACTTTAAGAAGGTGCAAGATTTTCCTCTGCATATGCACTGGTTTACCGGCTCAAAGAAATTTAGATACCTATTTGTCCATTCATTCATTTCCCCTAACTGCTTATCCTGTTAGGGGTCACATTGGACGAGAGGCAGGGTACACCCTGGACAGGTCACCAGACTACCACAGGGCTGACACATAGAGACAGACAACCATTCACACTCACATTCACACCTACGGACAATTTAGAGTCACCAATTAACCTGCATGTGTTTTGACTGTGGGAGGAAGCTGGAGTACCCGGAGAAAACCCATTAGTATGGGGATATATTGAGAAAGATAAAGAGATTTGGGTAAAACAACCATTTTGACCACATCTACCCAGCCTGCCAAAATTGCTGTTGAAGATATCTGCTAGAGACCTTGTCATAAAAATGCCTGAGAACAAGAACAACAACAGTACTTTCACTCAACCATGAATAAAACAGGCCACTGAGTATCTCACTAAGTGTTGATTACATTATGTATATAAAATGTTTATTGCCAAATGAGTATATAAACATAAGCTGCTGTAACCCTGAGAGCCCTCACAAAGTAAAAAGGGAAAAAACATACAATCCAGACAATCCAAACAATAAAATACTGTGTACAACTACAGTATACTAGCCCACCATTGAACATTGCTTAAGAAACTGGCCCACAGTTGAACTGTCTTATCAAACATTTTTCTGTCATTACTCCCTGTCACTGTCTTTGCACTCACAACATCCAGGAATCATCCTCCCCCGTCTTCTGCTTTTAACATGCAGTAATAAAACAAGAATTTAAACAGTCAATATTTCCTGAACGAGAGGTCGATCCACTGACCTCTAACCTGGCTGAACATCAGAGGGTCTCACACCTTTCTTTAATTAAATAAACAGAGGTCAAATCCAGTCTGATGCTCTGATCGCTCCATAAAAGGTACATTCACACACATTTTATCAGAATGGTAAACAGGCTATAAGCATTATAATGTATTGTTTCCTTATCAATTACTAATTACAGAACAGAAGAGGTTTAGGAAGATATTGGAGACTAAAAGGGAAGATAAGACTCTCTAATCTGAAGTAAATTGCTATACTTAGAAAAAAATTTATGTCCTCTTTTATTTAGTTTATGTGCATATATATATATATATATACAGTACAGGCCAAAAGTTTGGACACACCTTCTCATTCAATGCGTTTTCTTTATTTTCATGACTATTTACATTGTAGATTCTCACTGAAGGCATCAAAACTATGAATGAACACATGTGGAGTTATGTACTTAACAAAAAAAGGTGAAATAACTGAAAACATGTTTTATATTCTAGTTTCTTCAAAATAGCCACCCTTTGCTCTGATTACTGCTTTGCACACTCTTGGCATTCTCTCCATGAGCTTCAAGAGGTAGTCACCTGAAATGGTTTTCCAACAGTCTTGAAGGAGTTCCCAGAGGTGTTTAGCACTTGTTGGCCCCTTTGCCTTCACTCTGCGGTCCAGCTCACCCCAAACCATCTCGATTGGGTTCAGGTCCGGTGACTGTGGAGGCCAGGTCATCTGCCGCAGCGCTCCATCACTCTCCTTCTTGGTCAAATAGCCCTTACACAGCCTGGAGGTGTGTTTGGGGTCATTGTCCTGTTGAAAAATAAATGATCGTCCAACTAAACGCAAACCGGATGGGATGGCATGTCGCTGCAGGATGCTGTGGTAGCCATGCTGGTTCAGTGTGCCTTCAATTTTGAATAAATCCCCAACAGTGTCACCAGCAAAACACCCCCACACCATCACACCTCCTCCTCCATGCTTCACAGTGGGAACCAGGCATGTGGAATCCATCCGTTCACCTTTTCTGCGTCTCACAAAGACACGGCGGTTGGAACCAAAGATCTCAAATTTGGACTCATCAGACCAAAGCACAGATTTCCACTGGTCTAATGTCCATTCCTTGTGTTTCTTGGCCCAAACAAATCTCTTCTGCTTGTTGCCTCTCCTTAGCAGTGGTTTCCTAGCAGCTATTTGACCATGAAGGCCTGATTTGCGCAGTCTCCTCTTAACAGGAAAAACGCAACGAAAAAACCCTTTAACGGGGAAAAAAAACGAACTATACACTGATCAGCCAAAACATTAAAACCACTGACAGGTGAAGTGATTAACTTTGATTATCTTGTTCCAATGCATTGTTCTGATGGGAAACCTTTGGTTCTGGCATTCACGTGGATACCACCTGACATGTTCCACCCACTCAAACACCGTTACAGACCAAGTACCCCTCTCATGGCAACAGTACTCCCCAATGGCAGTGGCCCCCCAGCAGGATAATGCACAATGCCACACTACAAACATCACTCAGGAATGGCCCAAGGAATGTGACAAAGACCTTAAAGCTATAGTGCGTAACTTCTGTCGCCCCCCAGCGGATAATGCGTTATTACAACAAATAAGCCGGCACTTTCCATGTACAGAGTAACACTCGCTACACACCGTGTACACAGTGCTACGCAACGTGGCGAACACCAGGCTGCTAACATTACATTACGTTCATAGCACCATTTCCAAGAAAATAATAAAGTACTAGGTCCAGTACATGTAACAGCAACACATACTACTCATAATATAATTATAAACCAAGTCACTTACTTATCCAACAGCAGCAAGGCAACATCCGTGTCTGCCCTCAGCCCAATTTCTTCCTTCAGGGCTCTCCACTGAGGAAAAGTGATGCCAATACAAATCCTTGTTTGCCTTCTCCGTCGGTCACTTTCCTTCTTTGCTAATAGACCTTCAGCCGAACGTCCAGGCTTTTTCTTTGTGGTAGGATCCACTTCTGAACCGTGTCTCGGCCACTTCTCCGCCATGTTGCTTTCTCTTTCTACCTGCGCTCTACCTCTTGCTATGACACTCTTCGCTCTTCCTCCCCCTCCCTTCTTGTTGTGAGGAAGCATTTTCTGTGCGCCAGCACAGGAATGTCGCCGGTCGACACGCAAACTAAAAATGATATATATTGAAAAATACCGCGAGATGTTAGAGGAGCCAATCGGCTTAATCAGCATTGTGTCATCTCCTCTAGTAGTGGCTTGGGTGAAACAGACATTTACAGACATGTAGAAGTTACGCACTATAGCTTTAAAGTTCAATTTATTACCTTTTTTCAACTGTAAATTATATCCACAAAGAAAAACTTTGTCACATCTGTTTAATCTAAGATTAA